TCTGCCCGAGGTCCGAGGCAGGCCCTTCCGCCCCGAGGGGGAGGCCGGCGCTCTTCTGGATGAGGTAGAAAGAAGCGGCTGACGTTTCCCCTCCTGTGGTCCTCACAACGGCGCTGTGGGGTTATAGGGTCCCCGCCACCACCTTCAACCAGCGCCCCCCGGTTCCAGCACTTGCCAGCAGGCGGCAGCAGCCGCCCGAGCGTCTTTTTCCTGATCATTCCGCGTTAAACTTGTTCCTCCCTGAGATGTAAAATCTGGCTGGGGGGGAGGCGGCGTGTTATACTGCTATAACACAGTAATAGCAACACTTCCTGAGCCCTTGCAAGCTGCCGGACACCCAGGGGCACTCGGGGTCTCACAGCAGCCCAGAAGTAGGTGCGATCGCTGTGCTCCCTGTCGGAGCAAACTGACCCGAGGAGATGAAGGGCAGGTCGCGCAGAGCTGGAGGCCGCCGCACGGTCTGCTGGCCTCCTAACCTCAGACCCCTCGACGCCGTGGTTCATCTCTGTGCCCTGTCCTGTGGCTGCGTAGGTGGGGGGCAGGTGGCCTCTCCTCTGCCCTTAACCGGCTCATTCATTCACTCATTTATTCAGGCATTCAGTCATTCCTATTTTTGAGCTCCTGCCCAGAGCCAGGCAACATTCTCAGCTCTTAAGCCCAGTAGTGACTTCAGTCTCTGCTCTAGAGATGTGCACACAGCAACTACTATCCATATGTGAGACGGATTTTTAAAATTATTTTGTTTTTTTGTTTGTTTCTCCTGGTACTGGAGGTTGAACCTAGGGTCTTTGTACCGAGTTACATCACCAGCGCTTTTCCTTTCACTTTTTTATTTTAAGACAGGGTCTTGCTACGTTGCTCAGGTTGAGGTTGAACTTGAAATCCTCCTGGCTCAGCCTCCCAGAATACTGGGATTACAGATGTGCCCCACCGCACCCACCTGAGATGGGTGTTAATAGGGTATAATAGGTGTGGGAGTGGGGAGAACAAAGCCAGGTTAGCTGCAGTTCTGAGGAAAGGGCCAGCCAAAGCAAGTCCCTAAGAACGTGACAACTGGACCGAGACTGGCCCTCGTGCTCTCACTGTGCTGAGAGCGGCTCATTCCCCGCAGTGTGGGGCTCCTTATTTCTTGTTCCCTCACCGTCTGCAGAATTCCGGAGCCGCTGAGGGAAGGCGCACAGCTCGCTGCCCCATATCCCTGGCAGTCTCATCCCAGCGTGTTGGGGAGTCTCATCCCAACATCCCAAGTTGGCAGCGTGTCCAGCGCTGGACGGGCCGTGAAGAGCTTCGCTGTTCCCCGCCCCTGGTCACCTGCAGCCAGGACAGGCAGGGGGCTGGGATTTGCCCTGCAAAGGGGGCGCCCAGGGAGTGCAGCAAGGGGTGCACATGGGGGCACTTTGGGCCCCATTTCCGGGGAGAGACGAAGGACTGGTCTGAACTCCATCCTCTGCCTGTGTCCCACCAGAGCACCCCGGGAACCGCAGGCAGCACCCCAGCTGGGGCCCTGCAGAAACTGCACTCGGTCAGGTCTAATCCTGGCTGCGGGGGTCGTGAGCACTGCGCCCCAGATGGCGCCTTCCAGACTCGGGGAGGGCGGGGAGCACAGCTGGGCCGGAACGGAAGGAAGCAGACCCGCCGCTGGGGACCCACGGAGCGCTGCAGCGCCCCCTGCTGTTCCCGCCCTCTCTTTCATCCCCAGAAAGCCGATCATTCTTGCCCCTTCACAAAAGAGGAAGCCGAGGCTGGAGACGGTGAGCACCTTGCCATGGCCATTTGGACAAGTGCGGAGCCCGGCTCCTGGCCCCTTTGGGATTTTATTTTCAGTGCTGAGGATGGAGCCCAGGGCCTTGCCCGTGCTAGACAAGCGCTGGACCGCTGAGCTGCACCCTCGGGCCCCTCGGGCACTCCAAGCGTGGTGCTTTCGGGCACAAGGGATGCGATTAGGGTAACGTGCTGCAGGGACAGCAGCCTGCCACAAGCGGCACTGGCACACAAATGGAATGTATCGCTCAAAGCCAGGACACCCCGGGGCGTGCGCTAACAAACGGCCCATCTTGGCAGCTGTGGGAGGTAGGGGATGAGTTTGTGGCTCACAGAACGTGTCCATCCGGGTGTTCCGGGGACCTGGCCCTCACCTCCTCACAGGAAGGCCCAGGCTGCTGCAGTAGTCACCATCCCAAGCACCACCAGTCAGCGGGACCGGAAAACACTTGGTCAGGTGCTCTGTCCAGAAGTGAGACTGACCACTTCTGCGCGTAGCTCACTGGCAGGTCTGGGCCTGGGGCCCCTCTGACCACCAGGAGCCAGGAGGTGAAGCTCTGCCACGTCCCCAGAAGACCACAAGTGGGAACTGTGTGGCGGAGAGCATAATGGTTTCCATACTCAGGTGGCTCAACAGTCCAGGGGGCATGTGGGTTTCAGGTACGGTTGGATCCAGGAGCTCGAGAGACATTAAAAAAAAGAAGACTCCATCTCTCAGTTCTGCTTTCTCAGCGTGTTATCTTCATCTCAGACAGGCTGCTTCCTCCTGGTGACCCCCAGCAGCTGCAAGCCCAGCCCCTCTTCACAGCTCAGCAGTCTCAGCGGAAAGAGCAGGAGGCAGCTTGGGTCATGTTTATCCCGGAGTTGTCCTCTGGCCAGAGAGTGGAGTGCTCTGGCGGGCAGCTCTGGGTCCCTTAGGCACTTCCTGGCAGGACAGTCGCTGCGCAGCCCTGGGTAGTCATCGAGTCAGTAGCTGGAAACTAGCCGTGGTGGAGGTATTCACCCCAGGAAAATAAGCAAACGCTACAGATCGGGCTTTACTGCCCGCTGTGTGCCAGACGTGGGTACAGCAGCGAACAAAGCGAAGTCCCTGCTCCGTGGGGCTCGAGCTCTCTCCCGGCTTGTTTCCAGCACCTGCTTCTCCGTCTCCATCCAGCTGCTCTTCCAGCCTCCGACCAGCCTTCCCCATGCAGGCCTCCGTCCGGCTCCATCCGCCGCTGCGCGGGGAGGGCCTCGTCCCGCCCCGTTCTGCCCGCAGGACCGGCGCTGGTCGTGCACCGATCCTCCGCACTCCCGCGTGAGCAAGCCGATGTCAGAGAGGAGGCCCCGGTCCCGCACTCCACGCGCCGGAGCGCTGAGCTGGTCCCTGGGGAGCCTGTGGCTCAGTGGTGCCCGCACCCTGTTGCTCCCAAGAGGTGTGAAAGCCACCGCGCACCTTCCCCCTGCCGTCCCTAGGGTGCGCGAGGGGGAGGGGCGCAGCTTGCACATCTGAGCCTCACAGCCCACGTGCTGCCATCAGCCTGCTGCTAGACCCAGCGGTGTTCTAGAACCTTCCCGCCCCACGCCGGCCCCGAGAGTGCTCGCGCCCTCCCGGGGGACCCCTCTGCCATACTCCCGCAGCAGACAGACTGCTTCTGCGTCAGACCTTCCTCAGGGACCTGCTGAGGCGGAGCTGGGACAGGGGCTCCCACAGGCTCCTGAGCAGGGTCGCCCTCCTGCCTTAACTCGGCTCGGTCCCTCGAGGGGCATCTTAGAGGGGCAGCAGCCTAGCTGCTTCCACCGTGATTCTCCGCAGTGCCTGGCACATATGGGCAGCTCCTAACAGAACGGCGGCGCTTAGCAGCACTAGCTGCTTAATTCTCCTTTCCCTGGCAAGCACCTCGGCTTCCCCCGGGTCCCCAGGGTGAGAAATAAGGTGCCAGGACGGAGCCGGGGAGGGAGAGTGCAGGGTGTGGAGGCCGGGACACAGGGCGCCGCTCCTACCCACGTCTTTGTGTCCCCACCACACTCCAAGTGCCGCAGGGGAGGGTCCTGCGCGCTGTGCTAGCCTCGCAATGCCTGGCATGTACTGGTGCTTGATAAATAGTTCTTGGGTGTGTAAGGGGATTTTCAAAAACATGGGCAGCAGAAGCCAGAAAAAGAAATCTTGGTTAAATGAGGCTGTTTCTGAGACAAGGCTGAGTGCGTGCTTTCAGCCTGGAAACCCCCGTGAGTTGGGGGGTGGCCCCCGGCCGGGCACTCTCCTCCCCCCCGCCCTGGCGCCAGCCTGCCTGCCACAGGCGGCCTCCCCCGGGCAGGCCATGCGGTCCCCATTTTCCTGGCATGGAAACTTGGTCCGAGTTGCTCGGCCAGGAAGCATCAGAGCCGGCGTTCAGACCTGTATCCTCGTCACCCCCGCTGTCCCACCGCCAGGGTCACTGTGGGCTCACTCTGTCCCTTCCCCTTCCTGAAAGGTGACAGGAGGTGACAGCGGCAGCCTGGATGTCTGTGGCTCCCGGCTGCTGGACCCGACACCTGTCCCTGACGGTGCCCCTCGGCCTGCAGCGGGGGAGGAGGGAGGCGGGCGTCTGCGTCCCGGCGGCGCCCCAGCTGCCCACACTCATGGCCGAGGGACAGTCGCAGGTGTGGCAGGTGACACGCCGCGGCCACGGTGTGCATTGCACACGCGCACATACAGGAACACTGCAAACACCGGGCCCGAGGCCAGTCCCGCCACCAACCGGGCGGTCCTGCCTCTGGGCCCTGCCCCTGGGTTTGTCACGGCCCAGCGCCACGGCCGGCCCTAGACAGCCAGGCCACTTTTCTCGCTGGCCTGGGGCTCAGGTCCCTCGGGCGGAGGCTCCGTGATCACCCACTGGCGGAGGTAGCTCCGGGGCGGCCCCTCGTCCCTGGGGCCGGCGAAGTCACACTCCACGGGGCTGCCACAGTCCGAGCCCGCAAAGCCGCTGTCGAATGTGTCCATGTCCAGGCCAGCGGGGGGCGAGGCCGCCTCGCTCCCCGAGACCCCTCCGGGTGACACCCAGTCCTCATCTGCAGGGGGCAGCTTCAGCCTGTCCAGCAGGCTGCCCAACGGCCCTCCCAGCCCGGGGCCCCCGGCCGAGACGCAGCCACAGGGCAGCACTGTGGTCCCCCTGTCCAGGAGCAGGTCCTCTGGGCTGGGGCCGGGCTCGAGGCCAGTGTCCAGATTCCAGGCTGGGTAGCCATCGCTCCCGCAGCTGCTAGGCCAGGTGCACAGCTCCTCCGCGTCCACCACCATCACCGTGTCGATGGACACCAGGCCGTACGGCCGGTCCTTCTCCTCACTGTACTCTGAGCCACACGCACTGCCGGCCACGGAGGGTGAGCCGGGCTCAGGCGCCCCATCAGACTCCAGCAGGTCTGCAGGCCCCGGCGGCAGCCCCAGGGCCTCCGGTCCCTTGGCCGGACTCCTCGATGGGCGGCAGTCGGGCACCTCCAGGATGGAGGGTGCTGCTGGGCTCCAGGGTCCGAGCTGCAGGCTGGAGGCAGTGAGCGGGGTGCCCACCCACTTCTGTGAGAGAGAGACAGAGTCAGTGGGGGGCAGGCTGAGGCTGGGGTGCAGACACACAGTCAAAAGCGGCTAAAGAGAGAGGACAGCCAGGAAGAGAAGGAGCCAGACGTGGGGGAGAGAGACACACAGAGGAATCGGGAGTGCGATGCTCCGCCGCTGGGTCCCCGACATCATCCAGTCCCCACTCTGGGTGTAAGGTCATTTCTTAGCTGCGTGGCCTTGCGTGAGTTCCTTCCCCTCTCTGTGCCTCAGTTTCCTCATCTATATAATGGATCCACCCCATGGGCGCTGTGAGGAGTGATTACTGTAGGTGAGGCTCCTACATAGGCCAGGACACAGGTACCCGGTGAAAGTGATAGAAAATCAGTGTGACGGTTGAGCTTCCGGTAGGAGGAAAGGGCAGGTCCCCTGGGCTGGAGTTCGGGTCCCTCCCTGCCCTGCAAAAGCCATGTCCCCATCTGAATGTCAGGCTCTGCTGCTGGGGTCTTGGCGTTGGGCTCTTGGGGCAGGCGCTCAATCAGTGCTCTAGTTCTGACTTCCTGCGGCATCGGGGGCCAGAGCTGGAAGCCCCCTCCCATCCCCCGTGCCCTCCCATCCCCGCCCCCTTCACCACATCCTCTCCTCAGGCCCCTGCGCCCCGCAGTGGTGGGTAGAGGGCCCTGAGGTGGCAGAGGGCAGGGCTCTCTCACTTGGCAGGTGTTTGTCGGATCTTGCAGGCGGCCAGGTCCTCTGCAGAACCCCCTACCACCCCACAGCAGTGACGTGGAGGAAAAGCCCAGGGGTCCAGGCTGTGCCTCCAGGGAACCCTGGCCCCCCCTGCTGCGGTGTGGCTGGGAGCTATTGAAGCCTAGCGTCAGTTCTGCACTGAAGGCTTTACTGTCTGCACTTTGCAGTTGAGGAAACTGAGGCCTGGCTGGGACCTGGGGTGAGGGTGGGGTAGGGCTCCCAGAAAGGGCAGGGTACCTACCTTGAAGTCTCCTCTGTGGCCCTCATATAGGGGCTGGAAGAACCTCTCCGGGCTGGGCACGGGTGCCCACACCTCCTTCCACAGCCTAGGGGAATGGAGTCGGGTCAGCTCCTGACTGCAGCCAGGGGCACACACCTCCCACACTGACGCTGCCTCCTTTGTCCCACAGGACGCTCAACACCTACCAGGACACAGCCCAGACACCTTTCTTCCCAGCCTGGGGCTCAGTTACCACATCCATGAAATGGGAGCAGCAGCTGTCTCTCAGGTGCCTGAGATGCATTGGGATCAGGGGTCTGCAGCCCACTGCATGCAACTTCCTGCTCGGAGCCAGAGATGGGCAGGGAGCCAACTCCACAGGGCTGGGGAGACCTGATACCCAGCACCCAGCACGGCGCAGTGCTCGGCTGGAGCAGCTGCCTATTTCTGGCATCGTAATCTCTCCCTTCCCCACTCTCTGTCTCTGGTCCCAGCATCTAGCTGAGCAGGAGCAGAAGGAGCTGCGTCCCAGAGCTCTGTGCCCGGTGCCTGACACTCGGGGGCTCAGCGAACAGCGGCCGGCCGTCCTCCCCGGCCAGGCAGGCGCAAATCCGCCGCCTACACAGATCAACAGACTCTCTCCCTGACGGGTGGGTGGGGTGGGCGGACAATCGCGCCAGCCCCGCTCACCCCCACCCGGAGGCCCCTGTGCCTCTCGGGGCTCCAAGCTTAGAGGTCACCGGACGAGACCACAACCGAGGTCTCTGTGAAGGGCACAAGGTTTCCACCCCAGCTCCTCCGTTCACAGCTGTGTGACCTCGGGCCACTGCCTTGACTGCGCTGTGCTTTGATTTCCCCGTTTGTGACATATACTGCGCGGCCAGGGCTGTGTGAGTGCCCTGCACGCAGGAAACACGAGGCGGCTCTTAGTCACCGCTGTCATCACTGTCACGATGACAGGCGTGGCCCCCGCCCCGGGAAGGGTCCTGGCTGACCCCTCGCTGCTTCCCTGGTCCCCTGGCCTCACCTCCAAGGCAGGCGGATCTTCAGGCCCGTGAAGACAATGGCTGGGGTGACCAAGACAACCAGGGACAGGAGCAGCATGCGGGTGTCCCAGCCTGCCTTGGGCTCTGCGGAGAAAGCAAACGGTGGGTCCACAGGGGCTGTACACGGATGAGCAGGTGGGGACACTGTGGGCACCTCGCGCAGAGAGGGGCCTGGGTTCGGATCCCACTCCCGCCTGCTATCGCTTGGCTCTTAAGTGGCCCCCAGAGGCCCGTGTGTTGAGGCTGGTCCCCAGGCTCCAGGGCTATGGAAAGAAGACGGACCCATTCAGAGGTGGGGCTAGTGCCAGAGGCAGAGCACTGGGGCACGTCCTTGCAGGAGATCCTGGGGCCTTGAGCCCTCCTCCTCCTCTTTGCTTCCCAGGTGCTGCAGGAGGAGCAGGCGGCCTCCATAACACGCTCCCACCATGAAGCACTGGGCCGCCACAGGCCAAAGCAGCAGGGCCAGGAGACCACGCACTGAGACCTCAGAAACCTTGAGCCAAAATTACCCTTCTCCTCTGCTAAGCTGCCTCTCCCAGGGATTGTGTCACAGTGCTGGAAAGCTGATTAGCACATCTGTTTGCAACTTAGTTCCCTCCTCTGTGAAGTGAGGAGTCCGAGTCTCATGTCCCAGTTAGGAGGGTAAAAGGCCCGTTCAGAAAGCACAGCTGGCACCCACACTGCACATCTGGGGGTGAGCCGTACTGCAGGTCTCGGGCTCGCTTGGGCCAGGACAGGGTCAGGTACCGGAATGGGAAGTTCACTGTGCTTCACACCTACCCTCAGGCTGGGTCTGAAAGATGACAGGGTCACTCCACTCGCTCCAGGTTCCCCCAAAGAAGGAACTGGGCTGAGGTCCTGCCCGCACCTGCAGCTCATAGCTTGAGTTTTTGCGGAACTCTCCGGGGAGAAGGGAAATGCCTCTGGAATCCACTGAGATTAGCTTCGTCACCGGACTCTGCCAGGAAGGAGAGAAGGCAGGGGTCACCCACACTGGCCCCTGCTTCCAGCAGAAGTCCCCCCACTTCAGCCCCATCAGAGTGGCTGGGTGCCCCTTCCCCTCCACAGCCATCAGGACTGGGCGGCCTCAGCCTGCCTGTGACACGACCCCAATCGCTCCCCACCCGCTGTCCCACTCACCCTCCCTTCAGGGACAGAGAGTCCCAGGAGTGGCCACAGGCCGGAACAGCCCAGAGAGTGGGCACCCTTGGGGCTCCTCAACAGCTGGCGATGTAGTGACCTACGCCAGTGCGACCTCCTCTAGAGGGGGCATTTCTGGAGGTTTCCGCTGGCCACATCTTATCAATGGGAATCTTTGGAGGTCTTCCCTGAGGACATTCTAAGCAATGGCATTTATGAAAATCTTCAGCTGGGGCAGTGAGAGTAGATGGACAATGCTGGGACCCTTCAGCTGGACTGCTCTGACTAGGGGCCGTTCCAATCTCTCAGGGCCACAGGCCCTAAAGCAACCGACGCCTCTGGAGCCTTCAGCTTGGGACAACTGGCCCTTTGACCCAGGACTCTCAGTGACTATAACTCTCTAGTGGTGGCACTCTGAGTGAGAGGGAGGTTCTAGAAACTTCCTGCGGAGGAAACAGGACTAGAGAGAACTGTGAAGGGGTTTCCTGCTCAGGGAGAGAGAAGAGGGAGCGCCCCGCTGCCCTCAGGCCCCACCACACGCCCAGATGCTCCTGCCCTGGCCCGAGGCTGGGCCACACACGCGCCCGCTCCTCACCAGCACCAAGGGGTCCGCCCGGTTCCTGTACTGCAGCTCGTACTGCAGCTTGCCTTGAAGCGCGTAGAAGGCAGGGTCTTCATAATCCGAGCGCCAAGCGATGTTGTAGCGCCCCGAGAAGGTCACAGTCACATTGAAAGGAGGAGCCGGCTTGACTTCGAGGAAAAACCCAGACAGATAAAACAGGGTGAGTCGGAGCTACAGGCGAGAAGACCTGGTGAGGGGACAGAGGGCACCCGGCCCCCCTCGGCCATCAGGACCACGCGAGGGATGCTGGGCAAAGCTCTCGATGCTGCACGCACATCTCGGTTTATTTAGACTGGAGCCCATTGCAAACCGAGACGAGGGGGTCAGGGAAACGATGAGGCAAGTCCGGGCATTGTGGGAAAATAAAGATGGCCGCAGGCTTCCTGGGGTCTGGCAGGACTCAGGTTCCCTCAGCCCTGACTGGAAGGCAGGCCTGCGGGCCAGGGTCTTCTAAGTTTTTTAGAAAAAGGAGGAAGGAAGGAAGGGAAGGAAGGAAAGAATGAAGGAGGGAGGGAGGGAAGCCCTTCAAATCTCTGAGGCCCAAGCTGCATAGAGAAGGCGCGAACTCCAGGAGGAGGAGGCAAGGGTTCTGTTGGCGAAACACCCTCCTCTGCCCGCTGTAGGTCTGCCGCCATCTACCACCTCCCGGGGTCCCTCTGCGACTCTGCTTACCCCCTGCCTACCTCCCTCTCTGGGCTTCGTTCCCTAGGGCAGAGGCTTTGTCTTCCTGGTCCAATCTGGGTCCCAGCTCCTAGCACAGAGCCTGGTGCACAGTAGGCCCTCAAGATATATTTGTCAAATTAACAAATCTACCTTTCGGGGCTCCCAAGAGACGCAAAGACCTGAGGAGCTGCTTGTGAGCCTGACACACTCTAGGGACTCCGACCGCGGCCGGAGGGTGAGGCCACTGGGGGAGCTTTGTGTCCTATGTCTGCGACGGGAACTCCAAATCTTGGGGATCCCTCTCCCCTAGGTTCCTGCACGGCCTGGGCTGGGTGAGGCTCTCAGAGGAGCCCAGGCACTGAGAGCCGCCCTGTGTGTGCTCAGGAGACGTTGGCAGAGGCACCTGGGGGGCGGAATGGGGCCTGGGACTGAGGCCTCTGGCAGGACGAGGAGGAGATCACAGCGGGGAGCGGGGTGCTGCTCTGAGAAGTGTGCCCTTTCGAGAGAGCGCGGCCGCCCCTTCTGGGCCCTGAGCTATTCCCATCTGTGGCTGCCCAGAGGCCAGGTGCCACGGGGGTGGGCCGCAGCTGCCCGCACCCTTGGAGAGGCAGAGCACGTGTGTCAGGGCCTCCACGGCCCTCGCGGCTGTGAGCCAGGGGGTGTCTGTGCTTGAGCACTGAGCGTGCCACAGGCACCCGGGGGCCCGCGAGGTCTCTGCGAGTGTCTGAGGGGCCTTTAGCAGCCCCAGGGTGTGAGCTGGGGAAACACCTCAACCAGCGCCTGGGCGGGGGTGCGTCTATGTGTGCCTGCGTGTGTGAGGCCTCACTCACACCTTCCAAGGCCTGGGTCTCACTCCGCAAGGTGTGAATCTCAGACAGCCGCCCACACCCAGGCCGGGCCCTGGGAGTCTGGGGAGAGGAGCCCCGAAGGGGAGGAGGCCAGGACACCCGCTGCGGGCTCTGCACGTGTGGGGCCAATGCAAAGACGCATGCGTACACACACTCACAGACATGCACATCCACACGCGCTTGGAGACACACAGACACACACCCAGAGACTCACACACCAGCCCACTGATACACACAGACGCACACCCAGACACACACAGACATAGGGGTACACTGAGACAGACACAGGGACACACCCGGACACACATGCAGACACACACACACACACACACAAGCCCCTTCTCCATCCTTGCGCTGGGCCCCTTCCTGCCTCCAGCCTGCAGGGAAATTTCTGGGCTCCCTGGAGCTCATGCAGGCGAGGACATTGGGAGGCTGTCCCTCATGACAGTGTCCTCCACCCGTCTTATCACGCACGGCAACATCCCGAGGTAAGCGAGCCCTGGCCAGGATCACAGAAGCGGGCAGGGGCTGGGACGCAGCCGGAGCCCAGAAGTCCTGGGTCCCTGGCATGGCTCCTTTTAAGCCTCTGCCGTCTGTCTTAGGAGCTAAAGCCCATCACACCGTAGTAAGAGCTAGTGCCTCTAACAAGCGAACTCTAAGGAGAAGGGAGGGCACCGCACAGGTCGTTCGGAGCGGGCGACGGGGCCGAGGGGCACTCACTTCTCTCAGCCAGCAAGAAGCTGCCGCACTCCTGGGAGTAGTCGCCAGACTCGTCCGTCACGTTGACAGTGAAAATGTCGTCGGCCATGAAGCGGAACACGTCCATGTGGCACGTGTACTTGGCGTGTGTGGCGTTGTGGCCGGACCTGTGCAGGCTGCAGGAGGTGACCTCGTCCTGAAGTTCCACGTTCGGGTCTTGCCTTGGGAGACAGAGAGACCGGTCATGGCCGGAGGCCAGTAGGGCTCAGCCCTGGGGACCGGGAAGGCATCCGGGGCTCAGGGCTGGGAGGACTGCGGTGGGGTGGCATCGCCTGGTCCAACCATCCCCTCCTGGGGAGGGGTCCCCGCCCCTGCAGCTTTCCTCATGGACTGTGTCCAGCCTCAGCTTGCATACTTCCCAGGGACCAGGGACTCACTACCTCATTCAGGACAGCAGCTCTCAGCTTGGAAATTCGGGCCATTCTCGATCAGACCAAGCCTAGATCCGTCCCTGTTAATTCCCACAGTGGGAGAAGGAGTTCCTTCCTCTTTCTATTCAATATCTCCTGAATACCGATCAAAGCCTGTGCTGTAATCCAAATGAATTTCATTCTTGCTCTGGGTAAACTTCAGGAAGCTGGTGGGATGGTGTTGGGGAAAAGGCTTTGGCCTTTTCACTGGGTAGAAGTGACGGGTTTTAAAGTATGTATAGAAGTTCATGATCACCCTCCAGGACCAATATAGGCAATGTGTTAAGTTTACTAGAACAGAAACTTTTACTGAATAAAGACTCTCCAAGCATCCAGCCCAGACCACTGCAGTGGCTTTGTGATAGCATCCCTGCCTTGGCCCTTCTCCCTGAAATCTGTCTATCCCTCTCCTGCAACAGCCAGGGAGGACCTTTAAAAACTCCCTGTCACCTCCTTGCCTCAAACCCTCCAGCAGCAATTCTTTATTTCCTTCTAGTGAAGTCAGCTACTGCCTCCCTCTTGCCTTCTTTGCTTGTTATTTTCTGTGGCTTACTCTCCAGCTGCACAGCCTCCTTGCTGTCCCTTGGTCTCACCCACAGGGCCTTTGCATGTGCTACCCACCTGCCTCTCCTGTCCTTTCCCAGCTCAGTGGCCACTGCTTCCCTTCCAGAAAGGCCAGACCTGACTGCCCTGGCTGGAGAGACTCTCCACTCCCCACTCTGCTCCAGGTTTTGTTCTTTGTGTTTATTGTCTGTCCCCCAGCTGCCACCTCTCCAAAACATCAGTTCTGAGACATCTGGGACCATGCAGGTGTGAGCCCCCTGGGGCTCTCTGGTCAGAGGAGCATAGTGGGTGTGTTTGGAGGGACCGGTGTATCAAGGGGTAACAGAACAGAACGCAGTGACCTTTATCCCGGGCTGCAGGTGAGCTGATAAGGACCTGCTGGCTTTAGAGCTGAGGAGCCTAGGTTTAATCACAGACCCACCGCTTACTGGCTACCTGACCCTGCCCGGGTGCCTCACCTCTCTCACCTTCAGTGTGCTCATCTGGAAAATGGGAGTGATAACTGGAAGCAATCGATCATTCGTGTGAAGCACACAGTAGGGCGCCTGGAACCTGCTAAGTGCTTACCAAGTCCTGCGGGAGTCTGGCCGTCCTGGGGGGGGTCTCACAACCAGTCAGGCCTGTGTGGGGCGGGGCAGAGCAGCCCCGGGGCCTCCCTTGTGCACGGCGGCCAAGCCCCCCGAGTGTCGGTGGCTGCGGCTGAGGTGGGCACAGCGGCCCCAGCTCAGGGAGCTGCCCCTGCAGTGAGACCCGAGGGAGCCCTGGAGGTGGCCGCCGTGTGTCTGTTGTTAAGCTCTGTGCAGAACACACAGTACCGTGGTCCCGCTCAGTCTCTCGTCGCCCGCGTCCGCGGGTTGGCGAGGCCCGGCCCCTTACCAGGTAAGGGTGAGCGTGCTGGGGTGGAGGGTCCACATCTCCACGATGCAGGTGACCGTCTGGAGGTAGTCCGTGTAGCAGTCGAGGTCCGGGCAGCCCCAGCCTGAGGGCACAGAGAGAAGGGTCTAGCAGGGAGCTTTGGAGTCCCAGGGCCAGGATGAAGACAGGGACCTGGAGGCCCTTAAGATGAGGGACGCAGGGGTCACCTGGGAATTGTAACTCTCACTGCCTCAAGGCTGGCCATGCAGACTGGGCTCTCCTGCTGCAGAACAGAATAAGGACGCTGTCCCCATCTTGGCCCCCTTCCCAGGCCCCGGACATGGCTCCCAGGCCAGTGCGGGCCTCGGAGCGGCATAGCTCACACACACCGCACATCCCATGAGGTTCCCAAGTGCGAGGCTGGCAACTCCCCACGCCCCCACCCGAGCCTGGACAGGGAGGAGGCCCAGCTGGGGGCAGATGGCATGGCAGCACACTGCCCTGGGCGGCCGGAAGTGCTTTCTGAGGGGAGAAAACCAGGAAGGACTTGAACAGCTCTGCAGAAACGTCTGCATCAAACTCCTGCCAACATGGCACATGGCCACCAAGAAGTCATCCGTGTGTCGTCCTCTCAGGTGACTGAGCTGGGAGATTTGACAGCACCCCCATAATCCTCTCACTCTGTTCTAAGACAGATGCAACTGTTGGCTAAGTTCTACTCAATGCTGGACAAAATAAAGCTTAAAGACGTTTAGTTTTGTAAAATCAACCGTTTTTTCTCTACTATGTAGTAAAACCCCTGTCCCCAGCCTTTTTTTTTTTAATTCTTCTCCCATGTCAGGGCTTGAACTCAGAGCCTTCACACTAAGCTACATCCTTTCTAAAATTTGGAGACAGGGTCTCACTTACTTGCCCAGGCTGGGCTTGAACTTGAGAGCTTCCCTGCCTCAGCCTTGCAGGGTGCTAGAGGGTCAGGCCCATGCCACACACCATGGTGGATGTGACCCTCGTCCAGGGGCTCCTTCCTAACCTCCGTGACATGTGACAGCCCATGAGGTGGGGCGCATTCCTCCCTGGGCTCACTCAGTCTGAACCTGGATTCAGAGCCAGGAGAACTGTGGCTGGAAGCATCCGTTCACCCTTCCCATCCTCCCTGTAGGGGGCAGGCTCAAGGCTCTGAGGTGAGATGGTCTCTCCTGGGTTCTCTGAGTCTGAGCCCTGAGATGCTCTCCCGGGAAAGCCAGCCAGGCCTGGGCCGGTTCTCCACAACCAGGTGTGTGGCAGACCTGTTTAACTGACTGCCACTCTCCGCCACTGTAGCCTCAGAGTCTTTCCAGCTTGGTCCCCAGGGGGCAGTTCTAGCAGAGTCTGACCCCTGGGTGGGGCGCAGGGTCTCTAGTCCGAATGCCTGGTGCAGAATAGAGGCCTGACCGTGTCAGCTCCAAGCCCAGGGCTGCAGCCCCGCCCCGTGGCTGTGCTGTCTCCGTTGGTCCCCTAGGGCTCCAGCCACTGGGAGAGCTTCCCCGGGATAGTGTTTGTCCCCAGAGGCAGAATAGCACTGAGGAGGGAGAGGCAGCCTGGGGATGGCCTCAGGGGTCAGGGAGTGAAAAGCCCGTCAGCCCTGACCCCATGGCAGCCCCAGGGCCGCCCAGGCTAGGGCTGTGGAGGCACATGGGAAGCCAAGAGGCACCAAGTGGCCGCTCTGTCCCCAGCTCAGCGACAGAGGACACGGGATGGGACCCAAAGCTGCTCCTGCTCCTGCTCGTTAACTGGAAGTGTGGGTGTCCTCAGAGCTGGGCGCTTAGACGGGTCACAGCTGTGCCATTCTCGCCGCCGTCTGCGGCAGTCACCCGCACGCGCCCCAGAGCAGAGGGGACGGACTCGCTCAGGTTCAAAACTGTTTCTCTGCTGGAAAACCGGGCACCACTGCAATGTGGTCGCGGCAGGACTGTCAGGAGGATGGGACGTCCAGTACCGCAGCGGCTTGTTGTCTGCGCTCACAGGGCATGGAGCCAGGGCGGGAGACCCGATGGCTTTCCAGAGCTAAGTGGGGGCGGGGGGTCATTGCCACTCAGAAGGAAAATAAAAACCCGCCATCTGCTTCCTGAAGGAGCTATTTGGGGCACTGGGTCTTTTGGTACAAACCAGAGCAGATGCCTCTGACTCAGCAAAGCAGAGGCTGAGTTCCCCTCTGCCTGGAGGACTCCACGCGTCCAGGCACTGCGGCCCCCTCTTCCAGGAAGCCCTCCCCGACTCACGTCTGGACCTCCCCTCTCAGGGCCGCTCCCAGCCTGCCTGGCGCTGTGTCTGACTTCTTTCCCTCTGACTGCTGCACCCCTGGCTTTCCAGGCCTCTGGGCTTTTCGTGTCTGTCTCCCTTTCTCCACCTGGGGGAGCATCAGAGCTGCTGAGGGTCAGGGATGTTAAGAAACATCTCCAAGGAGAGCTATTAAGTACGGAGAAACAGAAGTTACAGCAAAGCCAGGACTTGTGCCCCTAAGGCTGGGGGACCCGCCGAGGCTGAGAACAGTGACATTTCTCATCTCCCCGGTAAGACTTGGAGACCCAAGCCCACGGTCAGTGGAGCCCTGGTTGGATGGGTTCTTATTAATGGAGAATTGGCAGTTGGAGCTGTACCAGTCTTAGGTGCGGCGGGTCTGGGCTGGTATCTGTAGCCCAGCGCCTGCTCAGCTTTGTGGGAGGAAAAATCATGCACACGCATGCCCGCACACGCACACACACGTACGCACACGCACACGCCACGTGGCAGCTACTTACCGCCCTGGAGCATCAGCAGGAGCAAAGCAGGGACCCAGCCACGTGGCTGCATGCTGAATTCCCAAGCGTGCGGGGGCCTGCAAGAGTGCACAGCGCGGGAGAGTGAGCCCAGCCTGTGGCCAGGGCCCTGGGCAGCCTCCTTCTCACTGCCCGCCTCCGGAGGACCTGCTGCAGATTCCAGGGTTTGTCTCAAAGAAGCAAGGTCTGCGGGGCCATGGATGACCGCGAGGCTTCCTGCCCCTCAGAAATGCCTAGTTTCCCCTGGATCTCTCCTCACTCTCCCACATGCTTCTGTCCTGCTTAGCGGTCACAGTCAGAGGCTCAATAGGGAGGGGACTGCTATTCTGTCCCTGCTAAGCCTGTGGCGTATGAAATCTAACCCATGTGCTCATCTGCCTACAGTCATATGGATGCGAGGGATGAAGGATTGATTTGGAAAGTAGCATCCACCGAACAGCAACCCGAGTCCTCTCTGCCACAGAGCACCCATGACGACATTGCCCCAGTAAACCGGCTTTTCACCGAACAACCAGTCCAAGTCTCGCCAATATGGGGCACTGCTGTTGAATATTGAAGACAGGGTTAGCCCCATAAGGAGGTATTTTACTCTATCTCAAAGCCCAGGCTAGCCCCCTGGGGAGCCAGTAGAAAATCCAGGCCAGCCAGCCAGGGCAGCCTGGGCCCCCTCATTCTGACCAACACGCCGCAAGACTGTCTGGGTGCCCGGGTGAGCTGCTCTGGGAAGGGCAGCCTTTGACGCCCTGGCAGAGGAGCGACCCCTCCAGGCTGGCGACGCCGGGGCCCTCCCGGCACTGTGCAGGCTGAGCCCGGCAGCTCTGGCTCTGTTTGCGAAGGGCAGTCAGGTGGGTCTGACGCAGAGCCTGGAGACGCTCCATGCGGGGACCGAGTCTTGGATACCATCGTGAACCCCAGGAGAAGATGACCCCTTTACCAGGGCTCCCCCAGCTCCTGCTCCACTCTCACCAACAGTTCCACATCACCAAGGACGCAGTGGGAAGGGGGCACCGGCTGTGGGCCAGAGCCTTCCGATGAGCAGCTGTGTGGCTGGGGCGGATACACCTCAGCTGCTGGGAGGGACTCCGCTCTCGTACCTGGGAACCCTGTGCTCTGGTGTGAGTGTGTTTCCCGAATCCCCCAGGTCACGTGTTTTTGGAGGCAGTTCGGGTTAGACGAGGTCAGAGTGTGGGCCCCCTTGATGGCACTGGTGGCTTTACGAGAAGAGGTGGGCAGACCCACACTGGCCCGCTTGCCCTCTCTCCAGGAGAGGCCTCTGCCATGGGCTGATGCGCCGGGAGGCCCTCGCCAGGTGCAGAGCAGGCTCCAGCGCGTGCTCGAGGGCTGCCACGCTTCCCGAACTGGGGGCCAAACAAATTTGATAAATCACCAGATCTCAGGGACTTTGTTACAGCAGCAGAAAACGGACTAAGACACCCTGTTATTAATCCTGGAAGAAGTGACCTCTGAGCACAGGTAGTGGGGCCATGTCTGCCCTCACCACATGTCCACCTGTGTGACCCCAGCCCAGCCCGGGGCCCAGCGGAGCTCTGTCTGTGACACGCCCTGTTAGCTCCACTGCAGCCACAGAAAGAAGCACAGCCCACATTGCCAAGATTTGAGGCTCCTCTTCCCTCCCAATTCCTCACCTTAGATTCCTGGGAATGTTGAGGAGGCACCTGCTGCCTGTGTCTGCCTGGTGTCCCTTCCCCTTTCTTCTGAAGTGCCCCTTAAACTGGGGCCACCTCTCTGTGGTTGGGGTACAGCTGACTCCGCCCCCTGCCTATAGAATGGGCACCTGACCCACCCTGGCCAATCCAAAGGCTCCACTTGTCACACGGGGATTGACTCAGCGCTGGGCCAATCAGTGAGACAATCCTGGGATTTTTCCCTCTCTGGAGTATCTTGTAGCCATTACAGTCCCCTCTTAGGGAGAGCCTGTTTGCAATGGATGGAAATACTGAGATGTGGAGACCAAGGGTGCCCATGGAATCACCTGAGGACCTGGATCCAGCCATACCTGGTACGCATATCTGGACTTTCATTTACATGAGTCCCCAGAACTCCTTATATTGCTCAACTGCATTGAATTATATTTCTGTTGCTTTCTACCAAAGCTACCTGATACTGAGGAGTGCAGAAAAGGTCCCAGAACCTGGATTTATCTTTTTTTTTGGTCTTTTTGAGACAGGGTCTTACTAGGCAGTTCAGGCTGGCCTTGAGCTCACTTTGTAGCCCAGGCTGGTCTTGAACTCTCAAGGATCCTCCTGCCTCAGCCTCCCGAGTGCTGGGATTACAGGTGTGCACCACCAC